CCATCACCATCACCATCACCATCATCATCATCATCATCATCTTCTTCTTCTCCATCATCATCATCATCATCATCATCATCATCACCACCATCACCAGCATCATCACTTCCTGTCCTCGTCCTCGTCCTCGTCCTCGTCCTCGTCCTCGTCCTCGTCCTCGTCCTCGTCCTCCTCTTCCTTGCAGATGCGACAGAGACGTTCCCTTGTCAGGTTCGGCGATCTCACCGGGGAGACAAGGACCATCATGCTAGCAGTCAACCCTCACAGAACTGCCTTCCCTCCTCCGTGGGCTCGAGCTTCCGACTAGACTGTTGATGACGATGCAACCAGGAGCGTCATGCAAGCTCTGCCGATGGGAACTCCTCTCAAGCAGCAAGTTGGGGATGCGTGCAAAGCGTGAGGAGGAGGGGGAGGAGGAGGAGGAGGAGGAGGAGGAGGAGGAAGGAGGAGGAAGGAGGAAGGTGACATGCGAGCAGGTCATCGGAGCGAGGGTTTGTTTTCCTGTCTCCACGAGAGAACTCAGTCCTCGAGGTGCCTTCGACTACTTCTTCCCCAGTCTCGCACCTTGTGCCCTACCGACCCTCTTCTTCTTCCTTTCCTTCCTCTTGTCCATTCCATCTTTTGTTGCCCTTTCCATTCTTCTGTTGATGCTGGTAACGCTACTAATGCTCCTTTCCCTCCGACTCCTCCTCTCCTCCTCTCCTCCTCCCCTCCCTCCTCGTTTCTTCCTTAGGTTTTTCCTAGTCGGAACGTCTCCATCGTCATTCGCTTCCTATTAGCCGGTTAGTTGCTCGTTGCACAGCCGATGTCAACATGTCCATGGCAGCGAAGCTGATGGGGAGATGCTGGAACGGGCACCTGCTGGAGCCAGGCAAGAGCCGGGGGAGGAGGAAGGAGAGGAGATAAAAGAGGAGGAACAGGGAAGAAGTTCAACCACACTGAAGACGGCAGCGAATGTACGGAGGTCTCCCCAGACTTTACTCCTTCCTGCATGCTGAGGCTGTGCTCACAGTCTACCTCGATCGCCATGGTGGTCAAGTCGAAGAACCCGTAGGAGGAGGATGGGGGGTGAAGAGGAGGGAAGAGATTTGGTGGGGAGGGAGGAGGAGGAGAAGAAGGGGGAGGGGAGACGGTTCTCTTGATATCGATTGTCTCAGCCCTGAGCGGATTGTCGAGCTTGGATTTGAGGACTTTGTGGACAAGAAGGACCCGGAAAGCCCACAGCCACTGTTCCTCACGAGGGATTACTACGCCATGGTATGTAGGGAATATGCCTTGGAGTAGAGATGACGATACGAAGTGGAGTAGGTGGAGGGAGGGAGGGAGGGAAGGAGAGGGGAGATGGAGGGGGACGGGAAGGGGAGGGGAGGAAGGAAGATTGGGGAGGGGGAACGAGAGGAGGATGGGGCGGAGGCAGGGGTCGGGAGAGGGGAGGTGCAAGGGGATGGGCGAGGGGAGAAGGGGAGAGGGAAGGAGTGGAGGGGAGCCGAGGAAAGGAAAGGAAGGTGATAGAGGAAAAGGGGGCATAACGCTGATGCTCGAGTGCCGCAGGGACTCTCAGCGGGAGAGAACGTCGTTGAAGTCAAAGTCGGGCAGTATGACACCTCCAACCGGTCAGGACCAATCAAGGCAAGAGACTGCAGAGGAGGAGAAAGAAGAAAGAGCGAGGGGGAAATGAGAGGGAGGTAGAGCAGGGGATAAGAGAAGATCGATAGGGGGAGGATGAGGGGTGAGAACGAGAAGGATTCCAGGAGGGAAGGACGCGGAAGATGAGGACAGAAAGAACAAGAGGAGGAGGAAGACAGGAACGGGATGGAAAGAGATCTCAGAAACGGGTGGGTATGGAGTGTCTGGAGGAGGACAGGAACGTTTTTGCCCACCTCACTCCTCCCTCAGTCTGTTTTGAACGCCAGCATGTCTTTCTTTATCGCCTTCAAGGAGCTCACGTCCCAAGTGCCGTTTGCGACTCCCTCAGGTTAATCCCGTCTAAAGCTGCGCCAAAGCTCACTGAAAGAGCAGGGGCAGGGGCAGGAGCAGGGGCAGGGGCAGTGGGATTGATAAAAACGTTTGTGGTGAGGCTTCAGCTGGGGTCTGTTGTTCACGTTGACTCTTGTCTCAAGGTGAACATGGCGAGGCACGGGGAAAGATGGCTTAGAACAAGATCCCTCCTCATGCAGCTTGGCTTCCAAGATTTCCAAAGGTCTCCACCTGCTCCTCCTGCTCCTCCTCTTTGGCCTCGTCATGCGCTCCTCCTGCTCCTGCTCCTGCTCCTCCTCCTCCTCCTCCTCCTCCTGCTCCTCCTCCTGCTCCTGCTCCTCCTCCCCATCCTCCTCCTCTTTTTCCTCCCGTCCTCCTCCCTTGATCTCCTCAGAGTTGAATCAGATGGGATGCGTTCGACGCCTTGAAGGCTGACGCTCACGAGGAAATGCAGCTCTCACTTGGCGAATTCATGACGGGGACAGGTGACCCTTGTGGCTTGCTCTCCTCCCTCCTCCCTCCTCCCTCCTCCCTCCTCCCTCCTCCCTCCTCCC